TTTCCCTACTCTACAATTTCTGTTATTTAATAACTGGGATCCAAGACAGCCTCAATTCATTAAAAGTTCTGGGCAAAACTCCCCCAGTCCAGGACAGATTGGGTATTTGATAATCAGAAATTGGATGCCAAGCTTACAAATGGACTCTAGTTTTCCACTCAGAACACAATAAAGGAAGACTGGGCTGATTCAGACAAGGTTTGTGCTGGGTCTCAATACCAGCATAATGAAGAGAAAAGATTCATCTATGCACATTCACTGACTTGAAATGATGCTGAGAGTTAGATGGAGAGCAAATATTTTTATAGCCAACTGATCTGCATGTGACAAAATAGTTTCTTATAGGGTGCCTGTAGACGTGTGGAGAGGTTGTTCTGATGCACTGCAATTACAGCGTGTCAGAGCAGGCTCTATTAACTGAGTCTGCTGGAGCGTGCTAATTAGCAGGCTCCAGCAGCCTCCATGTCTCTTGTATCAGTATTCCTGCACTTCAAGATGGTGGCAGGGGTGCTTTCACTTTCCCGTCCACCATGTTGAAGCTCAGGGATGCTGGTACACAAGATGCTGCAGGCACTGTAATTAGAGCGCTTTCACAGCTGCTCTAATTCAAGTACCTCCCACACGACCCCTGGAGCACAAGTAAAAAAGCCCATAATGCCTAACTTGGAAAAGAGTAAGGAACAAATTTAACTAAATGTGGTGCAACTCAAACTTTTGATTAACCAGCTTGGTTGAACAGGTTACACTGGGAAATTACATATTAGTACAGAAATGTTTTATGCATACATGCATGTATATTTATACACACGTACCTATGCACGTGTGTAGAATGTAGAGATACACACCTATATTTGCAGCAGATATTACAGCTAACATATTTAATGCTGTTTGTTACATGTAATGCAAGACTTTTTCAGTTCTTTTATTTTTATTTATTTTAGGATGTAATTAGGACCATTGTTCAGAGCGGTGGCATCAAGCATTTAGTTACTATGGCAACTAGCGAACATGTAATAATGCAAAATGAAGCTCTTGTTGCTCTGGCACTAATAGCAGCTCTGGAGTTAGGTGAGTATCCCAGGGATTAGGTCTTCATTTTTCTTTTGGTCTGTGCAAAAAATTCAGGGCAGGACGGAGCTGCCTGAGCGTTGCTACATGAGATTCAATTTTAAGTTTGACTAGACCTTCACAAGCATGTCTATAAGTATACGATCAGCAGGGCTATAGAAATAGTCTAACTGCATAGATAAAATATAGCCTGTAGAATTCTTTTAAGAGATGTGTAAACTAAAGAGATCCCAAACTGAGCATGATTTTCAGTCACCACTAGGAATCACAGGGCTGATCGTTAGAAAAAAAATCACCCTTTTTTTCTGAAGACTGTGTATGCACGTGTTGCAGGGAAAAATTGGTGAGGAACTCTGCAACATCATAATTATGCATGTCAAAGTGGCTTCTCTCTACAATCATTTTATTTAAGAGGGAAACAAAAGTTTTTTTAACCTGGGCAAGAGATTGATATGCTAAAAGTTTTTTAGTTACTTGGCTTTGCCTCAACTGGAATAGCCAAACTCTTTCCAAAATAGATTAGTAAAAACTGCTTAGATGGGACATGAGGTACTTTCTGATGGAAGCAAAGGGGAATTCTGTACGTTAGTGAATACTGCACATTAATGACTCTTACTGATTTTGTAGAGTTTCTCAGAAACAAATTTGGGAGAGAATTTCAATTAAAAAACTGGTGTGTTACATCATAGCCTGAGTTTATAACATTCGCATTTCCTAGTGGTAAAAGAATTTTTAAACATGACTTTCATTTCTCTTGTTTGTCCTATTTACTTGCCTATTGCATTTCATTCATTTTAGACAATTAATTCTATGGTCAACAATACTTACTTTTGTAATCAGCTTCAACTTTTGTTTTCATGCACCAGGAGAATAGGGTGTTCAGCTTCCGAAATTCGAGAGAAAATCAGATAGATAAGTAAATCGTCAGCTTAAAAAAGAGAGAGAAAATATGTATATTTATTTTCGGTCTTCTAATCCCTCTCCTTTTGTCTTCCAACGTTTCTACATTTGGGACCTACACTACGTTGACAACATCGCTTTAAAAATGTATGCACCCAGGTCCTAATCCTGTACTGACCACTTCTGATGGACCCCGAGTGTCCCCTATTATCTTGGATTTTAAGCTGCTTTCTCTTTTGTTCAGGAATTTTTTTTTTTTTTAAGTATTCAAAGTCAGTTGTGGGTTTCACTAAAGAAGGATTGCAGGGATTGCCTTTCAGTGTTCAGACTGATGGGTGCATTTTCCATTAGGTCACAAAATGCCTAAGTATATCATTAAATTCCTTGAGTGTTCATTAAGTGAAATTAAACTAACTTACAATTACTTAGCAAAAACTGGCACTCAGCATGACAACATTCAATATATATTTCAGTTTTGCTGCAAACGAACCAGGCTCTGAATACATCACAGCCCTAGTATTACAGTGGAAGAGAGAAACTGTATCAGTAAGTGGCCAGAAGCAAGGCAGCAAAATGACTCTGGCTCTTTGATTTATACTTTTCACTTGTTTGTATTTCAGTCACTGCTGAGAAAGATATTGAAAATGCTCAGTTAGTCCAGATCCTACACAGGCTGCTCTCAGATGAAAGGAGTGCGCCAGAAATCAAGTACAATTCCATGGTGCTGATCTGTGCCCTCATGGGATCTGGTGAGTATTTATAAGGGGTTTCTGCTGGGTTATTGCTCAGTACTTCTGAACTTCCACTGACTTTAGTGGGAGCTCAGTGGCAGGCAGCCACCTTGGGAGCAAAGTGTGTCTCCGCAGGCACACAGGCAGGCTTTCACTTTGAATGCTTTGTTTCCTCTTATATGCATGCTGGACAGATGCACAAGTCTTCTGTGGCCCCCAGCTGGAGCAGTTCAAAATTGTTACAATGGCATGCAGCAGTGCGTGTGCTTTCTAGCAAGGGAAACACAGCGAGGGGTTGTTCAGACCTGTGGCTCCCCTTCAGCTCCCTGCAGTGGAGGTGGGGGAGTAGGGGTGGCACAGAGTGAAGGGAACTGTCAGCATCTGCTCTGCTGTACACTCAGCCTCCAGTCTCCTGGTTCTCAGAGATTCAAGAAATAACTGTGTTCAGCCCTAAAGCTGGAGAGAACAATTCCTGACATGGCCCACCTCCAGCAACTCGATAGCCCACTTCCTCTTGCCCGTCCCCTCCTGCTAGAGGTAGACCAACACACAGGGATTCCTGCTCTGAAGGCTTGGCTGTCCACCTGATTCTTTCTTCTCCCCCATGGGTGCCAGGGGATGAGGGTAGACAAGTTAGAGCACTCTGGGTTGCCCGAGGACCAAGCAACCTCATTGCACTCCACATGCAACAGAAAGTACTTCATTTTAAGCACTTCCAAATAGTTGCTGTTTCTTCCAGTTATTTTTGGAGAATTTTGCCCATTGCAACACTTCATAGGGCACTTACAAATGTCCACTCACCCTTTGAAATGCTTTAGATACCATGTCTGTATACAGCCTGAGTCAGAGCTTTCACCCTGGCAAGGTTCTAGCTCATCCCATCAATTGGTAGGGCCCACTTGCCCTTGCCCAATGTTATCCAATCTATTTGACACCATGAAAAGGTGAACAGAACCTGCTCTAACCATCGTTGCAAACATGACGTCTTTAAATATTCAGACTTTTGAATTACTGGCCAGTTTTTTTCAAAGCCCCACCAAGTCCTTCCTTATTTCATGAGTACCTGGTTAGAGGGAACTCTTATGCTCCTAAGTGTTCATGATTTTGCTGCCAGTGAGTGAATAGGCTCTTGAGGTTATTTTAAAATACCCATAAAATAAAATAACTGAAGGAAAGAAACAGTTTCTTTGACCAGTGGTCTCAGAAAGCACATCCAGATGAGCGCGGTCGTGCGGTATGTGATGCTGCAAAGCACAGTCCAGTTTTCTCCACATTGCAAGGACGCACTGGCTGAGTGTGTTACTCCCAGGTTTTTTTTACTCCTGGATATCCAGGGGGCAAATAAATAAATAAAACACAGGGGGAAAAATGGAGCATTGCACGCTCGGCCAGCACGCGCTGCTGAAAAGTGGAGCCAGGCCAGAGCCACGTTTCGCTGCCAGCTAGGCTCCGTGTGGCAGAATCAGTGCAGCTGCAGCCCTGGGAGGCCCCCAGGACCCCAGGTAAGGCTGCTGGAGCCAGCCCAGTGCTGGCCCCAGCCTTCTTCTACCCCACCTAGGGCAACGTGCTGTGCACCAAAGCACACATGGCACATTTCCCAGAGACAAGTGGTAGCACAAGGTGTGCTGCCACTGTGTGTCCCCAGGGAACCAAATGTCCATGCACATCTAGGTGCACCTAGAGAGGCTAAAAATATTTTTGTCATACTGTTCTGGGCATTTAATTCTTGATCAATTATTTTTTCTACAAGGGATGCTGTTATCACTATACTTTGTTATGGTAAATCTGACATTCTGTTTAGCTTCTCGGTACCAGCAGTTATGTATTACCAGTGAAATAAATATTTCTTGCCAGCTGGAAACTGCTGTTGCAGTGGAATTAGTGTGTTGAAAGAGGAAAGAACAATGAGCCTGGGAAATGTAAATGTGTAACCTAAAGAATCAAAAAAGACAAAGCACTCATGGATACTAGTTGTGGCCATGTGCAAGGGCCACAAGGCTCACAGGAGTCTGTGTGTTAAACAAAGCAGTTCTGCCAGTGGAAATAAGTTCCTAAGTCAGTTTGGTAACACCTGCTTAGTGATATCCTAGCAAGAGAAGGAGGATAGAGAATGCTTCCACAGTAGAATGCCCTGGATCTGAGAAGCAGCTTCACTGAAAATGTTCAGGGGTTGAAGGGTCTCAGAGGCACAGCACTGGCTCGCTGCTTTTATATAGTAGGGGCTACACTGTCCAAGATCATTGAAAACTGGTGTACAGGAAATGAAGAAGGAAAAGAAATGTCACAGAAGACTTGCCACAAGTAAAAGATAGTCGTAGCATACAATGTAGCTAATTTTGAAACAAAGGTTCATATTTCTCATGAGCATCTCAGAGCTTAATCAAATTGGTGGCACCTCAGGATTGGGGTGGGGGACAGAGCTATTTGGACTGTATTGCTGAGTGGGTTGCACTTTTCCCTTCCCCTGCCAAAAAGCCATGCCTGCAGTACAGATCTTAAGTAATTTCAGCAGAATTCATTATGTTAAAAAATACTAAATATTAAAAAAATAAAACTCAGTGCCCTGAGCCTGTAGCACAGTGATTCTCAACCAGTGTGGCTTGAGATCCTTTCTGTAGTCAAAAAGGAGTGAAAACTAAGCTGGCATTTTTTGAGGGCTGCTTTGAGTCTAACAAGGTTGAGAACCACTGCTGTAGTGCTTTCAGTTTGCATAAATGCACTTTTTCGCCACTTTAAAAGGGGAGGAGGAGCTTATGCTCAGGAATGCACATCAGCTGTTTTACTGCAGCTATTTTGTCTGCATGAGCCTGCAGTGACACAAGACAGCTAAGCTGCATTAACATTGACTCTGGATGAAGCAGTTAAAGGTGGAGTGGCTATGCTACAGCTTCATCCCTGCAGTATATGGTAAATTAAATAGTCACATTGTAACAACTTATTAGGCCTGTGCGAGTAGGCAGATATTCGATCCGGCTTCAGATCCGGCCGCTTTGGGTGGCAGCGATCCAATCCGGAGCTCCAGCACGGGTTCCCACTTCAATCTGGCAGAAGCAGCTCCGAAAGCTTCGGAGCCACCTCGGAGATCTGGCGATAAGGTATAATGGAGAGTCAATGAAATATTTATAACTTGGTTGTTTTTTGTCTGATTTGGGTGACACTTGCAGGGGCAGTAGCCTCTGCTGAGAGCATGAAGCTTACCAAGTTTCAAGAAGATTGGTGCAGGGGTTTGGGGGGAACTGCACCCCAAATTCTTGAAAGAAAAAAACTCATGTCACGTCTATGTGTTACACCACAGGGGGGTGCAGACCGCAGGGTTAGTAGCCCCTGGTGAGGCCATGAAGCCTGCCAAGTTTCAAGAAGATTGGTGCAGGGGTTTGGGGGGAACTGCATCTCAAGCTGCTGACAGGCAAAACTCGTGACATAGATAACACTGTGTGTGTTAAGGCACAGCGGGCTGAAAACTGCAGGGGTGGTGGCCCCTGCTTAGGCCACAAAGCCTGCCAAGTTTCAAGGAGATAAGTGCAGGGGTTTGGGAGAAACTGCACTTCAGGCTGCGGACAAGCAAAACTCATGACTGATCTGGCAGGCTTCATGACCTCAGCAGGGGCTACCATCCCTGCAGCTTTCACCCTGCTGCGCCTTAACACACGCAGTGTCACCCATGTCACGAGTTTTGCTTGTCCGCAGCTTGAGGTGCAGTTCCCCCCAAACCCCTGCACCGATCTTCTTGAAACTTGGCAGGCTTTGTGGCCTCAGCAGGGGCTGCCACCCCTGCAGTTTTCACCCCCTGTAGTGTAACACAGACGTGAACGAGTTTTGCTTTCAAGAATTTGGGGTGCAGTTCCCCCCAAACCCCTGCACCGATCTTCTTGAAACTTGGCAGGCTTCGTGCTCTCAGCGGAGGCTACTGCCTCTGCAAGTGTCATCCAAATCAGACAAAAAACAACAAAGTTATAGCTATTTCATTGATTCCCCATTATACCCTATGGCCGGATCTCCAAAGCGGTTTGGAAGTTCTGAACCACTTTGGAACGCCTAATGAGGCCAGCGCTTCGATCCGGACATGCTGCTTCAGACACCAAAGCGTCCGAAGCTTCTCTGGATTCGAAGCACGGTCTGAAGCTTCACACAGCCCTACAACTTATATCAGTACCTTTTTGGCATCCATACAATTGTAATTTATCTTAGTGGTTGTCAGACTCAAGGCACTCCCTCCATTACTTATGTGAATTGGATGGTAGCCCATTTCAAAAACTATATAGGACAGTGCTTACCTCCTTATAGGGGAGCCAGGCAGTGGAGGGTCAGGGTTGGCCAGACAGGGAAAAGCCTATACGTGTGCTTTTCTGCTCATCTTGTACCTAGAGGCACCCTTCAAAGGATTTGGCATCACCCTGGTTGAGAACCACTGCTCTACCTATACCAGTCCCCATCTTTGGTTGCCTGCACAGCAGTATACAAAGCAGTCTTTGTTAGTACCCTGTACAAGGAGGAAGCAGTGGCTGTTTTAGATGGACCAGACTGTCCATATGCTGTTCATTTTTTTAGATTTAGAAAATTTTTCAAAACTGAGTTCAGTTATAGTAATGTAAAAAACAGTCTGTAAACAAACATGCCAACAAGGGCTAACTGCCTTCTTTGCCCTCTCTCTCTCTCTCTCTCTATCCCCAGAAACAAATCTCAGCCTCCACTCCGAAACCACCTTAGACAAAAAATAATTTCAATAGCTGTACTGTACAGGAAGCCTGTAGGCTGACAGCCTGCTCACTGGCTCTGTTAGGCCAGTTTAGGAAATAGGTTCTGAAGAGTCAAGAAGTTTTTTACTAAAAATTCCAGCTATTTATTACCAGCACTAGTTTGAAGGCACTTCAGTGTGGTTTTTCAGCACTGCTAGGTACCTACAGGGTCATTTGAAGTCCCTGGGAGTTGTGTAAGCCAAACACCTTTCAAAACTAAGTCCTAGTGTTAATTCTGTGCCTCTCCCCCAGCTCAAGAAGTAGTTCTGAGACTGCATGTGTCACATCAGGGTTATTACCAAGAAAACAGTTTCATGCAGTCACCCAGGCTATTCTGTGCTCATCTGCCCTGCAATAGAAACCTGCCGTCCTGTTTAAGTCAGTATGGGATCTGTTACCCATATCACCTCAGTTCATCTCAGCTACAAGCATGAGACATAAGGAGAGAAAGCATCTCGTTGGCAGCTCTGTGAACGTTTAGATACGTGCTTGGAGATGTGCCATGGGGACAGAATGTGAAACTTCCTTGCTTTTCTTTTCCAGAGCCCCTTCACAAGGAAGTGCAGAGCCTGTCATTTCTAGAAGTTGTATCAAAACTCCGCAGCCATGAGAACAAGACTGTTGCCCAGCAGGCCTCACTTACAGAGCAGAGACTCGCGGTAGAAAGCTGAGGAAAGTCTCCAATTTCCACACAGTATCCCATCATGAATTTCACCTTCGTCCTCTGTCCTGCTGCCGCTCCTGCTATGTTTTCCACTGTATCACTTGTGCATGCGTGTAATGTTCCCCACACACACTGATGAACTGCTGTAGGTACTTGTCCAATAAGGTTTCTAAAATCCATAAGTGGTGTTAACATGAACCTGTCAAAAAAGTCTCCACCCATCACTGTTCTACTTGTATTCTTGTTGCTTGGGCCACATAGTAGAATGTGCATGTTGTAGTCCTATGATGATGTAAAAGTGGTACTACATGATGACTCTTTCCTCATACCCCTAACTACATAATAATGTACTGCTAAATTAGGGACAATACAGGATGCAGCAAGTCGAGACTAGGGTATTGATTATAGAATTAAGTGGTAAATCTAGCTCCATTTTTGGTGCTTTGAAAACACAGGAATGAAGTAAATGTATTGCTGCTCATTCACTGGTCTCACCTATTAATGTCAAACTCATGGTACCTAGAGGTAACAAATAAAAATTCCAGTGCGCGCTCACTTTACCCTGTTGTTTGCTCTTTTTTGTATTCAAATGCAGAATTAACAACAGTCCCATGCACGTGTGAAAGTTCCTCTTTAAGAAAGCCCCTATAGTGGTGGACATAGGACTGATGTAATGTTTGCTTTTAGTTCAAAGAAAAACAGAGGAAGCCATTTTAAACCACTGAAATCCATTTCTCTTGTCATTAGCATGTACTCTACAGGGATGGTTCAATAGTCATTTGGGCTTTCACCCTAGTGATTTATACTGTGCTAAGATTCTGGTCCTATAAAAGCACTCAGGCAGAAATCTGTCCTCCAAAAGCATTTACAAGGCTTGTGTTCCAGCGACTGTTCAGCAAGCAGTGCACGAAGAGCAGAAATGTTGCTTGAGAGAATTCCAGCTGGTCTCCTGTCTTTAGCAGCGGGGCTGTCATATACTGCCAGTTGACAGGAAGGAAGGAAAGAAACCAAATAGTGATTCTATGGCAAAGGGGAAGATCATACTTGCAGGCTTTAGTCTAAATGCTACCCAGCGGGGATGAGTGGTGATGCTAACCTTCCTACAAACCTGTGTGTGGTGGGTTTGCATGCACTGCGCATCACAGCTTTACTCAACCGAGTCAGTGAGTAAGCATCTTACATTAGAAGTCCTGCTATGCATTACAGTTATAGCTGCTGCTCCCGCCCCATCCCCAAAACAACTCAGACCTGTTCAACAGCAACGACTATAATTCATTCACCAGGCTCATTAAAACCGCTGCCTTCCCTCCAGACAGTCGAGAAAGGATGCCAGTTAAGATTTTTTTCTGCTAAATAATCTCTTCTCACAAAGGCCAGCAAACAGCCACTTACTTCTAGCTACTTTTGATAGGAGAATCTATGAACTTGACCCAACACGGGGGTTGTCAACCAGGGGTACTTGGAAAGGTGCTGGGGTGGGGGGCAGGCAGGGACAGAGCACCCACCACCCTGCGTTGCCACTTCCCAGGGGCAGGGGCAAGGGCAGCAGCTCCCCTCTGCGGGTTTCATAGGCACCGCCCAGCTGGCCAGGCGCACAGGGGAAAGTTGCTCGTAGCCACCACCACCACATGCTGCCATCACTTGCAAGGCCGCCCCCGCTCCCCGTCTGGCCACTGCCACCCCCACCCCCACCAGAAAGGATACGCTGCTTTAAAAAGGTTGAAAACTCCTAACAGATCAGAACAGTGGGCCACATAGTCCAATACCCAGACACTAGCTGCCAGCATCTGTTATTTCAGTGAAAAAAGGAAGTCCCCAAGCACAGGGGTCAGCAACCTATGGTCCCAGGGCCAAATCTGGCCCTCAGATTCTTTGGAAGAAACCAGTGGACACGAGGCTTCAATGACGGGCCACTTTCTGCAGGCTCCCCCTGCACCGCCACGGGGACGAATGCTGCTACAGGCATTTCCTCCTTGCAGTCAGGAGGACAAGCAGCAGTAGGGGCCTCCTGGTGCCTGCCTGCCCATCTCTGACTTGGGGTGGGCTATTCCAGCTCACAGCCAGAAAAGGCTGCCTGCCCCTGCCATAGCAGACAACTGTAATAAACTGCTCGTACAGGAACTTCCATCCTACTCCCAGACACTAGCTATTGTTTATACTGCAGCTTTAGAGAAAAGTGCCAAAAAGTCCCGCTGAAGCACCCAATCTATATAGACACAGTGGAGCCAGATCAAACTAAGGCACTACTTCTTCCAGTAAAGCACATTCCCCCCTCCCCCCCCATGTCTGTCAACAGCCTACACTAATAAAAAAGCACCTTTAGTTAAACTATTTCCACCAGGAGCAAGATGAAACACAAGCCCATAGAACTACCTCTTCAGCTGGATTTTCCACAGAAGGAATATCAAGTGATTTACTTTTTATGTGCAAATCTCATCTAGGTCTGCACTGGGTACAAAGAGACGATATTTGTAACTGAAGATAAATGTTAGAAAGGAGAGTGTCTTGCACTGGAGCTATCCAAGTGAACTCCTTCCTGTTCTTGTGGTAAAAATACATTATGACCTGGGCCTCACTTGAGTAATAGCTGTATGAGTCCCTCATGAGGCCCTCATGATCCCTTGTGTAGGAAGCACAAGGCCTAACGTCTGAGTTGTGGGTTTCTTTTTCCTTCCTGCTTGCTCTGCATTTTGTAGCCATACTTGCATAATGCCCTGAAGTTACACTAAGGTATAAGGTTACTAAAAGACACTAACTTTGCCGCAGTTCCCCTTTTCCTCTGCGCATGCGACAGAACTTTTTGCCGCAGTTCTGCTTTTGAAATACGCATGCACTAAACTTAACAGGAGATACTAACCAATAGCAAACTAAGCCTAGCCCATAAGATAAGACGTAACAACAAGGAAATTGTGGTACTGCCAATAGTTGTATGACACGTGGTAGCCCTTTGTTTATGTAAGCTATAAAAGTGTAACCCCGAGAGAAATTGGGGGGTCAACACTGCTTTGAGCATCAGCTCCTCTGTTGACATTGCTTGCGCAATCAATAAACTCATGATGGACTCACCCTGGGTGTGACTCTCTCCTTGAGGTGAAATTGGTCTAGCCTCCAGGGGCACGAAACTAGCCATTTGGGCAACACTTTGACTAAGAGACAGAAGCCCTAGAAAGAACCTCTGTATATGTATAGGTATGAAAACTACAAAGTCCAGTCACTGAATTATTGCATGATCATGGGCAAGTCTTTTTCTTTCTTCATCCCCTTCCTTGCTTTCTCACTTGTTTGCTTGTAAGCAGTTTTGATAAAGACTTTATCTTACTATGTGAATACTGCACCTACCAGAATGAGGCTATGGCCTCTAACGGAGTATAAGTAATTGATGATAATTGGTGGTAAATCTGTTTGGATACAAGAATAAATTCTTATTTTCTTTCCTCAAGCATGCAGAGTGGCTTTCTATAACCACTGGTACTATCTGAGTGGCTCATTTTGTAATGCATCCTCACACTACCCTGTGTGATGAGAAAAGGTTCTTATTTTACAGATGGCAGTTGAGGTTTAAGCTGGTTTAGTGACTAGGCCAAGGTCACAGAAAGTTTATGGCAAGACAAAGACTTAAACTCAGGTCTCTAAACTGTAGCTGTTCAGCTGTTCTAAACTATATCCATTTACCATTCTTCTGTGCACAAAACAGACACAGAGCAGCATATCTGAAACAGTCTTTGGTTTATCATAAATGTAGTGGCCTTCCTTATATGTGACACCTGAAAAACGTTATTTTCAAGGAATAGCAGGGATACAGGGGAGAGACACACCTCTGAGCTATCTGGCCACTCCCACTTGTTACTTAAACACCTTGCCTAACACTAAATGGAGCCCTAAAGGTGCATGGCTGCACAGAGGGAGTGGTCCCTGCAGTGTACCCTCTGTCCCAGAGAGCAGCCTAACCAGACAAGAGCTTAGATTGTAATGCTTAAACTTCACTTCCCTTCATACTTTTCAGTAAAGTTTTCACTATTTTGACATAAAACTTCATTCTAAAGTGTGAAGAATGGTTATGTTAATTACTGCCTCTAGCTACTCAACTACTAACATATTTGCCTATCAGGAAGTGGAGGGGGAGGAGGGTGTCCAGTAAAAATACATAGATACCTATCTAGAACACCAGTTGTACTAACATTTGCACAATAGAAGAAGAAAAGGAAAGTTCATAAACTTTATAATTTCATCAAACTTCTAAACCATTACTGAATTTTGTTAACAGAATTTTCCTTTTAAGAATCACTGACAGCTAAGCAGCTAACTTTTAACAACCTCCTTTTTTCATTTTATCCAGAGTGTCTATCTAGCATACTGAGATGGATTAGCAAATGATGGATGCAAGAAAAAAAAAAAAGCACATTTTTTGGATTTCTCTATTAGAAATATCATGAGCATTCAGCCACCTTGGGTCTGGTCCTGTACTCATTGGTGTGGTTCATTTTCTTTTTTTTAGTGGGAATTTATCTTGATTAGGAAGGGAGTATTTTTCCCACCCCAGCTGATTGCCATTTATAAAAGCATTTTCTGCTTGCAACATTCTGTGCTGCAAGTGACAGGTTAGTTCTGGTAATGATGGGCACTATGCTTTTGATGCTTCCTCACCTGACATTACGTTTAGATAGATGAGTTCAAATTTCAGGTCAGGGGAAATGTTGGAAGTGGGCTTATTTAAACTTTTTAAACAGACGTGGGACAGGGTTTTCTGGTGAGCCAGAAAGAGGTTGGAAGGATGTAGAAGTGGAGCGCATGGTAGGGGGAAGGGGGAGGGGGTTAGATGTGGTTTCTGGGCAAGACAGACTGCAGGGTAGGAGGAGTTATGGGATGACATTTAGTTATGCCCTTTCTGTTAGCTTCTTTCACATTCATTCTCTCCCTCTCCCCATTAGCCCCTGCTGTCCATAACTGCCTTTATTACTATTGTCTCCAGTTCCTCTTTCACAATTACCTCCTTGTTTCATCTCTTTC